TGGACTCAGATCTTTGGCATAGACGTGCAGGACAGCGGGGGTCCTCAGGGGTGCCTTCAGCCCCAGGGTTCAGCTCCACTAGTCCTGGCTAGCATCCTCAAACCCTGCCCATGGCCACGCGGCCGACGGGATTTCCGCCATGTTTGGGGCATGAATTGACAAGTGCCCCATTGACGGGGAGGGGGGAGGGGGTGGGCAGGGCACAAGCCTCCCACTGTGCCATGTCCCCACCCTCCCCCGTCCCTCTGGGACAATGGTCGAGACTCAGCCAGAGTCCACAGCTGGTGGTAGGGGGGTGAGCTTGAGGAGGGGCAGGAGGGAGGGGTCCAGGGCCGAGGGGCCACCTGGGCCCTGCTTGCCCTCATCTGCCTGGGTCCCCTTGCCCCTCTCCTGTCCAGCTGGGTGGCCTTGGAGGAGGAAAAGGGCTTCCTTCCCACAGCCCAGACCCCAGCCCACCGGGGGGAAGGGGCGGTGTCTGGCTCCTGTTATAGGCAGGTAATAAAGGGCCTAATTAATGAGGAGCAGCTGGATGCATAGCTCAGTGGGTGGGGACGGTGCCTGAAGAAGGCCTCCGTGTCGCTGTGGGCCCCTAACCACAGCATGACCTGATGGAGATGCAGGCAAGTCTGATTCCAGCCCCCACCTGCCGTTTTTTCAGTCATTCCATGAACATTCACTGAGAGCCTAAGGAATACCCTGCTTGGTGATAATGGTTAGGGATTCAGCTGTTAACCAAAAGGTTTGCAGTTCAAGGCACTGCAGAAGAAAGACTTGGTGATCTGCTTCTGACAAACCAGCCATTGGAAACCACAGGAAACACACTTTACTTTGATATACATGTGATCGTCAAAAGTCACAATCAACTCGACAGCAACTGGTTTGGATTTGGGTTTTACTGTGGGAACCTTAGAAGCCCTGTAGCTTAGTGGGTTCCATGTTGGGCTGTTAACCACAAGGTCAGCAGTTTGAATCCACCAGTCTCTCTGTAGGAGAAAGATGAGGCTTTCTTCTCCCTTAAAGGTTTACAGCCTCAGAAACCCTACACAGAGTCACCGTGAGTCAGAATCGACTCCAGGGTAGTTTTTCTTTTGTTCTGTTGTTGTTGTTGTTGTTGTTGTTTTTGAGATACGTAAAGGAACTCTAAGGAGCTCTGGAAACATAGTGGTTACGAGTCGGGCTGCCAAACTCAAAGTCAGCAGTTCAAAATTACCAGCGGTTCCATGGAAGAAAGATGAGGCATTCTGCTCCCGTAAAGGTTTACAGCCTCAGAAACCCTGTGTAGGGTCACTATGAGTCGGAACCGACTCTGTGGTACTTAACAACAACAACAACGGAGCTCTGGAGTCCTGGTGTGGCACTGTGGGTTAATGCGCTGGACTGTAAAGATGTTTGAACTGCAAGGTCGGGGTGGTTCAAGCTCACCAACTGCTCCTTGGAAACCCTATACAGGGTCGTTGTGGGTCAGAACTGACTCGATGGCACTTGACAACAACAACAAAGGAGCTCTGGTGTAGCAATGGACGAGGCATTGGGCTGCTTACTGAAAAGTTATAAGTCACCAGCCGCTCCTCAGAAGAGGGATGCGGCAGTCTGCTTCTGTAAAGATTTGTCGTCTTAGAAACCCTATGGAGTAGTTTTATTCGGTCCTGTAGGGTCGTTATGAGTTGGAATCCACTTGTCGGCAGTGAATTTGATTTTGGTTTTTAGATGCTTATATTGGAAATCCTATATCGGGTCGTTATGAGTCAGAACTGATTCAATAACAACCCAGAGAGGCCAACAGGATTAGATTCAGAGACCAGGTCCCATACCTGAAGGCTGTGGATGAGGTACTTAAGCTTTCTGAACCTCCACTTTCTCATCTGTAAAATGGAACAAGAAAAGCCGACTGCCCCCAATGTCACTGTGAGAATTAAATTAGGTGTGGAGTAGGGGGCTGGGGACTGAGTGCTATTTGGGGAGCTGTGGTCACTGAGGAGGCCCTTTAGGATCTGTGATGGACTTGATGAGAGAGTGGAAAGGGTAGGCCACAATAAGAATGGGGGAGTTTATGGTAAGCTGAAACCTGAAAGGTATATAGAAATCGACCAGATGGTGGCAGGACATGGCTTTCTGTGGCAGAAGTAACAGCATGTGCAAAGGCCCTGAGGTGGAGAGGATGTTTATCCCAGGAGGGGGAGGAGGCGGGAGCCTGGGCTACAGAGAGTTGCAGAGACAGAAGAGGAAGCTGCAGGGGTGAGCTGGGGCCTTGAACTTGGAGAGGGTCTGGGTCTGTCCCAGGCAATGGGAAGTCAGGGAGGGTCTGTGGAGAGGAGCACTACTGGAGTCATTTTTTGATGTAGGACCTTGGTGGGTCCAGGGAGGTTTTGAGGGTCAAAATGAGGTCAGCATGTGCCTGCCTTCACTTAGCTAGGACAGCCAACATGTTCCAGGACTCGCTTGGAAGCAATGGAGGGGTACCCCACTAGTGTGACCCAGTGTTCCCCAGCCTGGCTTCAGGAACCCCCGGGCTGCGACAAGCCTGTTACCCCTCCTCCTGGAAGGTGCAGTTGGAAATCCTGAGTGGGGCTCATGGAGCAGCTGAACATTTCTGCTTGGTGTCTGATTGTGTAGCCAGCCAAGTGGAGAGGAGGATCCCAGAGCCTTGGGATAGAGGAGAAGGAGTGGGCTCAGGGTTCCTCAAGTACCCACCCCCAAGTCCCCAACCTCTCCCCAACGGTCAGTCTACCCCCACACTGCTCCAGCAGTTTCCTTCTCTCTCCTCCCTCTGCCCTCCCGTCCACCCGGCCCCTGGCACGGGAGGGTCCCTCCTCCCCCTCGCCACATCTGGTTCTCGTTAGGGTCTCCCAGGATGCCTCTGCCTGAGGCCCCCATCCCAGGGGAGGTGGGCAGGAAGATTAGGGGCGATTAGGAGTGCTCCTGCCAGGGAAGGAGGAGGTGATAGGGAGGAGGGGGCTGGGCCTGTTATAAATAGAAACACCAAGACTGAGCCAGCCTGCCCCGCCATTCATTGTAAATTCCAAGTTCAGGCTCAAAACCTGCTGTTGTAGTAGCTAGGGCCCGGGAGGTGCTCCAATTCCCTCCTGTTCGTGATCCTCTTTTAGGAACCCAGACCCGCAGAAGGGCCAACCCCAAAGGGCCTAGCAACCACTCACCATTCCTTCCCCACCAGAGTGAGGCCTGCCTCTGTGAGCAACCGGGATGGTGATGGTAATGGCAAGTCCACAGGGGTCAGGAGGATCCAGTGACATGAAACTCATAAAGCACTGTGAATAGTGAGGGGCCACTGTCTCTGTTGTTATCGTCACCATTGTGGTTGAGAAATGCCATCACTGTCTCTGTCTCTGTCCCCACTGTGATGGCCTGGGAGGATGGACCTGCAGGAGGCTTGGCATGCAGTCAGCCTGTTAATGTGCCTGACTCAGGTACACACAGTAGGCCCTGGAGTCCCTGGGGGGAGCAGATAGTGTACTTGGCTGATAGCTGAAAGGCGCCTAAAGAGAAAGTCCTGGCAATTTACTGCTGGGAAACCAGCCATCGAAAACCCTGTGAATCACAGCTCTACTGACACACATGGGGTGCTGAGAGTGGGAGTCAAGCAGCTGGCAGCTGGGGTGTTTTTTGGGGGGACCTGAGCAGAGATGTGGGTCCTAGAGCCTGGGCATGTCAACGGGCCATTCCTAGCCTAAGAATCTTCTCTGGTCCTGGCTACACAAGGCTGTGAACAACCACTGGCGGCACTTGGTGGGTGAGCTGGGGATGGGGGTCAGCAAGAGGGCCCGTGTCCTGTCCCAGGCAGCTCGTGACTTCTAGGAGGGCTTAGCATCTCGTTAATCACCTAAGGGGAGGGGGGGGTTCAGCATTCTTGAAATGCCGGCTGGGGCTAGGGAGGGGTTGGGGCCAGGAGCTCCTGGGGACCCCAGGGCTCTCTCAGGGGGCTGAGCACTCAGGATGTGCAGCCAACCTCATCTTCTTTCCTCCTCACAACCAGTGTGAAGCCTTAGCATTCACGGCCCCATTTTATTGAAGAGGAGACTGAGGCTCAGAGAGGCTATGCAACCTATTCAAGGTCACACCGAAGGGAGAGGTTGAGGCAGGATGTGAATACAGAGCTGTTTGAACACTGTTTGTAGAACTCATCAGGGGAGGGGCATGATATGCAGACCCCAGACCCAAGGCGCCTGAGGCTTGTGGGAGGGGCCCCTCCTGGTCAGACTATGCTGGCTGGCCCAGGTCAGCAGCATGGGTGAGGCCGTCCTCCATTATCAAGGTTGACGCATCTCTCACGTCAGCCCCCTTATCACCCCGCCCTCCAGCTCCCCCTGCAAGGTGACCCTGGGAGGGGGTAGGCCAGCGCCTCCCCGTCTCTGAAAGCGCTGGACCAAGGCCAGCAGGGGAGGGCCAAGAGAGGGTAGAGCCAGGCCGTCATCACTGCTCCTATAGCCTGGACAAACCCTTAACCTCTCCAGCCTCTGCCTCCTCCTCTAGATACCCAGCGCTAAGTCCCCAGCCCCCTCCTGGGGCATTCCCCCTAGCCCATGGCCCCCCAGGATGTGTGGTCCCCATCAGGCTGGCCTATGCTGGGCTTGAGCCAGTGAGAGGGATGAGCACCCACTGGGCACTCAGTTCCATCAAGCACCCCATAAAACGGAGACAATCGCCCCATTTCACAGATGGGACTTGTGGAGTTACATAGCTTGAAGGAGGCAGTGGAGGGGTAGGAGGTAGCCTGTCTGCCTGGATCTGAGCTCTGGGCCCCTCTTTGGGGAACTCAGTGGCCATATGGGTGGGGTGGGTGGGGTGGTAGATTGTGGTTCTCCCTAGAGGAGTGTCAAGTGTGGGCCTTGAAGGACCCATTCAGAGCAGACTCCCTCTCCCCATGGATATACATAGCAAGAGCTAGGAGGAATGTGTGTGGAGGCCCAGATTGGGGTAGTATGGAGGGCTGAGCCCCAGGACTGCAGAGCAAACCCCAGTTCACATGTGCCCTTGCCCCACAGGCCATGACATCAACGGAGCTCTGGAGCCCTCCAACATAGACACCAGCATCCTGGAGGAGTATATCAGCAAGGAGGATGCTTCAGACCTGTACGTCCCTCGCCCCTGCCTCCATCTCCGCTGGGAGCCCTGAACAGGGAGGAGGGCCGGGGCCTGGCTGGGGCTGACCTCCTCTCTCCTCTTCAGCTGTTTCCCCGACATCTCTGTGCCTGCCAGTGCCGCCTCGTATGTCCATGGGCAGCCAGTAATCCCTGGCTCCAGTGGGGTGCACCACCTGAGCCCTCCTGGGAGTGGACCCTCCCCGGGGCGCCATGGTGCACTTCCACCCCCAAGCTACGGGGCCCCTCTCAACTGCAACAACAACAATGGCATGGGCGCTGCTCCTAAGTCCTTCCTGGGTGGCCCAGGGCCCCCCATCAAGGCAGAACCCAAGGTTCCCTATGCCCCAGGGTGAGTAGAATGCAGGGCTGGCAGGATCTGCGCTGTACAGGGGAAGGGTGGTAGGATGGCCCTGTGGGTAGGGCAGGATGGGGTGGGACTAGGGCCACGTGAGGAGGGATGCTTGGGCTCTGCCTTAAGGCAATGGGGAGCCACAGAGGGTTCTGAGCAGGGGAGTGATGAAAGTTGATATTATGTGGGAGGAAGATCTGAGAACTGTGTGAAGAGTGGATGGGAAGCTACCTGCACACACATACTCACATACAGAGACACCACCTCTCATGACTTCGGCCCATCCATCTGTGCATGTCTCTAGTGGATGCCCACTGTATCCACAGGGGGTTGGCCAGTAGCTCTGAGGTGGTGTTTGAAGTACCTTTCACCCCGGCATCTTGGGGCCAGACACCTAGCAGGCTCCCAGGCCCCTTCCCCCACATCTGCCCTGGGGATCCACACCAGGGGCCTGACTTTGACTAAAAGTCCTAGGGTGCCACTCGATCCCAGGGTGGCTCCGGAGCACACAGTCATGGGGAGAGGCAGGGAACAGCCTCTGCTGAGCTCTGCAGTGGAGCTCAGCATGGAGAAGGTTTCGAGTTCCCATTTCCAGCACAGGACACAGGGGACCCGGACTGAGGATGGAAGGATAATAAGGTGCTAGGGACAGGAGCAGCTCTGGTAGCGTAGTGATTACGAATCGGCTGTGAACCTCAGGGTCAGCAGTTCGAAACTACCAGTTGTTCTGCGGGAGAAAGATAAGGCTTTCTGCTCCCGTAAAGATTTACAGCCTTGGAAACCCTGTGTAGGGTCGCTATGAGTCGGAACCGACTCCACGGCACATAACAACAACACCAACAATAACAGGGACAGGAGCACTGTTCAGATGGCGGCTTTGTCTCAAGAGCCCTCATTTCCCAGCCATCTGCATCTTCTGTTGGGGCCTCAGTTTCTTCCTCTGTAAAGTGGGCCCACAAATGACTGCATCTCTGGATTATGGTAGAAATGCAGAGAGTGTAAGCACAGAGGAAAAGCCTCTGGCTGGTGCAAATGGTTAACTACTAAATAAAGTCCTGGACTGCTAACCGCAAGGCCAGTGGTTCAAGCCCACCAGCTGCTCCTTGGAAGCCCTGCACAAGGTCAATACAAGTTGTAGTACCACGGAAGAGTAGACTGGCAATCTCCTTCTGTAAAGATGGCTGTTGTTGTTACTGCTGTCAAGTCCGTTCCAATCCTTAGGGACCGTGGACAGGATTTCTGAGGAACAGCTGGTGGGTTTGAATCGGCAGCCTTGTGGTTAGCAGTCCGGTGCTTATCCTAGAGCCCCACACCAGGACTGGGAGTAAAGATTACAGCCCAGGTAACCCTGTGCTACGGTTCTGTTCTAACACCTGGGCTGCCGTGACTTGGAATTGGTTTGGTAGCAACAGGTGTTTTTAAGAGCCGAAGAAGTGCTGAAAGGATGGTGGTCCCTCATATACCATTGGTTGGTTGGTTGGTTAGCTGGTTGGTGATGTGCCGTGGACTCGGTTCCGACTCATAGCGACCCTGTACAGGGTTTCCAAGGCTGTAAATCTTTACGGGAGCAGAACGTCTCATCTTTCTCCCGCGGAACCGCTGATAGTTTCGAACTGCTGACCTTAAGGTTCACAGCCTGATTCGTAACCACTATGCTACCAGAGCTCCTTTCACATACCATAGTTTTGTGTAAACCCTGCAGTGCCCTCCACATTAGGTTCCTTTGTGTGCTATTCGCATTATATGCAGGTGTGAATTATTTCTACGGGCACACTATGTGCAAGAATAAGATATTGTGTCCCCTGAGCGTCTTAGCTCTAGCAGAGGACAGCTGACACGCTGACGGGGGGCGGGAGTGGGGGCTGGTCAGGGCTGCAGAAGGTAGACTGTCTGCTAGGATGCTGTCCCTAAGCCTCAGACCCCTGAGAATGGAGGTAAGACAACTGGCATGTCATAAGTACCTGCTGAGTGCCGGCTGCTGTCCCTCGAGTCAGCTTATATGATTGTATCAGCTGACCCTAGGAAGCAGCTCCTGGGGGGCCTCCAGACTAACCTCACAGTAGGCTTCTAATAGAACAGGGTTGTCCTCGGTCACTCGGGGCAGCCCACCCCTGCCCAGCCTGTTCTAGGTAGCAATCAGGTTCCTTATACAGTGGGGTCCACAGACTACTTGGAGGGATTGCTGTTACCCAAGAGAGGAATCCCGACACCTGCCTGGAATTTCTGAAGGAATGAACACGGGATCCTGTCCGCCTGTGTACTAGGGCCTAGGGGGTGAGAGAGAGCTTGGCACTAGAGAAACACTTGTCGGAGTTATGCCAGAGACACTGGACTCGGAGCTGGACAGGTCTGGAACCTAGGTCATAGTCCCTGGTCATCCTTAAGTAGTAGCCTCACCCATCCTGGGGGTTCCACCACATGGGGGAGAGGTCTCTCCAGACATGGGACTAGGGATAGAAAAGAGCAGGATCCTGTGTCGCCCAATCTCCCCTCCTGGTGTTGACCTCTCAGGTTTGAGTGTGGCTCAAACACTGATAAAACAAACCTTGAAGAAAAAAAAAAAAAGGCAGCCTAGGTTCCTAAAGTCTATACTTAACGCCCCCCCCCCCCAGCAGGGCAGCCCCCAGGCCCCCAGAGTGCCAGGAAGAAGGGATTAGGGAGCAAGTTTGCCCCCTCCTCAGGATCCTTGAGTCCCTGTACCATCGGCAGGGACGCTGCTCACTGACCCCCTCAGTAAGTCTGAGGGGATTCTTGGTGGGACCCTGAGGCCCCCCACCCACAATTCCTCTCTAGATGCTGCCAGACACCCCAAAGTGGAGGTACAGAGAAGTACCCCCGAGGGTGGGCTTGAGTTCTCCATGTCCCCAGTCTCTGGGGTCTGTGGTAAGGGGCCGGTCCTAGCCCATAAAGGAGCCACCCAACTGGAGGCTCTGGAGCTCGGCTGCCCACCCAACACCCCTTCTTGGTTGTACAGCACCCTACCGGACTCGCCCCCAGACTCGGGCTCTGAGGCCTACTCCCCCCAGCAGGTGAATGGTGAGTCCAGCAGGCACGCCCTCTCCTCTGGGCTGTGGGCAAGTGGCTGGGGCGGCCTTATCGGGAGGAGGGAGGGAGGTTGAGAGGGAGGGGGCCAGTGGCCGCTAACAGGCCAAGATTATCGTTGGTCAAATACTCCCCGCGGCTGGCTATTGTTCCCCACTGGTGGGTGGGGAGCCAGCCTGGCTTCTGCCAGTGGCCCGCCGGTGATGTTGCCTCCTGCCCGCCCGCGCCATCATGGACGCGCCCTATGGCGGTAAGTGGACAGTCAAGGGAGGCCACAGGTGCAGTCAGAGCACCAGCCGTGCTGCCAGCCGGCCCACCCCTCCTCAGGTGGTCCTCAGGGCCACCTTGGCCCCCAGGTGGCCAAGAACAGAATGACGGCAGGCAGCCGGCTCCCAAAGCCCAGAGAGGGGTCAAGAGTTCTGTTTATCTTACCAAAAACATCCCTGGAATGCCTCCTGGGGAACAAAGGGAGCTGGCCTCCCCCCTCGGACTGGGGGGGCTGGCTCCTGGGCGCCTGGGAGAGGGGCTGCTGCAGGGAGGAGGGCACTCTGTCTTGGGCTGGGGGGGGTTCTTGAGAGGCTCCTTGCTGAGCCCCCAACGGATCAGGGCCAGGGATGGATGGGGTGATGGGCTTCCCAGCCCTTGGGTAGGGTCTTGTTTTCCTGCCCAGGCCTCTTCCTGCCCAGCCCTCCTCCCAGCCCCCAGACCTGGCTCAGGAGGCCCGCGCGGTGGGAATCTGAGGAACCCGGTGCTGGAGCCCCAGTGAGAAAGATCTGATGCCCGCTCCCCCCACCAGATCCCCACCTGCTGCGCACGCTAACTCCTGAGGGGCTGTGCCACGTGGGGGTGCCGTCCCGCCTGGAGCACCCCCCGCCGCCCCCACCCCACTACCCCGTCCTGCAGCGAGACTTGTACATGAAGGCCGAGACCCCTGTGCCCCCCTATGCTGCCATGGGGCAAGGGCTGGCGCCCGCTGATCTCCACCACTCCCAGCAAACCCAGATGCTGCACCAGCTGCTGCAGCAACACGGAGCTGAGTAAGACTTGGCGCCAGCCTTTCCAGGGCACCATGTGGGGCAGCAGGGATAGTGTGCACTGAGAGGGCAGAAGGCTTACAGGAGAAGCTGGGCTCAACATACATCATTGTGACCAGCGAGACACTGGGAGATTTCTAGCCTTGCCTAGTTGCTCACAACTCCCTATTTGGTGGTCATTGTCATCCCATTGCACAGATAGATAAACTGAGGCTTGTGGGAAGAGGCAGATGACTTGCCCAGGTCATGGAACTAGGCAGGGGCAGAGCCAGGGTTTCTGAGAAGGTTCTAGGCATGGGCCCAGAAACCTCACTCCACCTCCAGGCTGCACAATTGTCGTTTCATCTGTTTTATGCACTGAGATTTCATGAAGGATTTGATTCAAGGAAAGATACCCTTGTTAAAACTTTGTGTAAGCCAGAAGGGGAAGGGATACTACTCAGCTCCCCCCCTCATCCCCCAGGATACTCCCTGAGGCCCTTGGGTGCCTAGAGCCCCCACCATAAGAAGCTGAGCGTGTTATACATGGACGAGGCCAGTTTAGAGCTGAGCTGGGCACAATGGGGACCAAGAGATCGGCCGGCCTGGATCCCCTGGAAAGAGGGTGGGGAAAGGTGACAGACGCAGCTACAGGGGATGGAGGCTTAGAGTTCGGGGTGAGGGAGCACCCAGGAGGGAAAGCCTGGAGGTGTGTCTTCAGCAGGTGTCTTTGGGGCTGCCCAGTGGGAAGGGGCTCAGGGAGTGGCATGGAGAAGGCAGCCCCCATAGCCAACTCTCTGGTCTCCCCAGGATCCCTACGCACCCCTCCAAGAAGAGAAAGCACTCAGAATCACCCCCCAACACCCTCAATGCCCAGATGTTGAATGGAATGATCAAACAGGAGCCCGGGACCATGACAGCCCTGCCCCCACACCCTGCTCGAGCCCCTTCTCCACCCTGGCCTCCCCAGGGCTCACTCTCTCCGGGTCCTGGCTCCCTGCCCCTCAGCATCGCCCGGGTCCAGACGCCACCTTGGCATCCACCAGGTCCACCCTCACCAGGTACTTGGTTGGCCAGATTGATGAACGCTTCATGTTGGGGAGTGGGTTCCGGGGCTCAGGAATTAGGGAGCCCATGATGGGGCCCACAAGGGTGTCCCTCCCTCTAGGTCTCCTGCAGGACAGTGACAGCCTCAGTGGCTCCTACCTGGACCCCAACTACCAGTCCATCAAGTGGCAACCACACCAGCAGAACAAATGGGCAACACTCTATGATGCCAACTACAAGGAGCTGTGAGTGATGGGGAGGGGGGCACTCATCCTTGGACACACTACGTTCCTAAGCAGGGCCTGGGGCTACAACATGAACCCATTTTGCAAAGGAGAAAACTGACTCCTAGGCTGGTGGGAGGCAGTCTTAAGAAGGGGTGTCTCCTGGGGAGGGACCACTGGGAGTCAAGTCAGGGAGAAGTGGGTGGACTGGAAGGGTGTTTCCCTGGCTCCTCCTTTCCCTCCTCCTCCTTCTCCACCTCCTCCTCAGACATTCCAGGAAGGTAGCCGGAAGCTGAGTTTAAGCTGGGCCCCTCCAGCAGCCCCCTCCCTGGAGGGAAGGGGGAGGGAGGACCAGCCTGAGGCTGCGCGGGCATTCCTCCACACGTCTGTGGGTTCTGCTCCCAGGATCCCAGCCAGGAGTCCTACCGGAGGGCAGGGACTACTCCCCTCACTCCCCCAGAAGGCCAATGGGCTGGCAAGAGGGTGATGCTTCTCAGTTCCCTTTGGACATTGGAGTTCTGGTAGCGTAGTGGTTACAAATCAGGCTGCTAATCTCAAGGTCAGCAGTTCGAAACCACCAGCTGTTCTATGGGAGAAAGATGAGGCTTTCTGCTCCCATAAATATTTATATCCTTGGCACACTACCACCACCACCAGCCTCCTGCAGGGTCTTCTTCGAGTTGGGTGGGATTCTTGGCCTGAAGCCCCTAGGGCATGGCTGGGTGTTCCAGCTGCTGTCATGGTTGGGATCCCATAGGGTCCTGCTGAGGTGGGGGCAGGTCTGTGGGAGTCTAATCTCTGTGACCTGGAATGAACCCCCTATTTTTATCCCAGCCTCTTTGGGTCAGACCAGGAAGCTGGGGACTCGCTTTCTTGGCAGGCCCTCGGTACTTCCTGGGTGGGGGCTGTGCTTGGTCAGGCAGCTAAGTGGAGCCCTAGTGCCTCTTCCCACTAATTTGGAAGCATTCTCCCTGCCCAGCCTAAGGGTAAGCACCAGGTACTCCTGCTACCATCTGGGCAACTGCTTGTTCCCTGGGGACCTGGGTCAGATGGGCAAGCCGTAGGCCAACAACAGAGGTCCAGCCCACCCAAAAGTGCCCATCTCCCTAGCCAGGCAGACAGAGGACGTCAGAATGAAGTGTTTGGGGGCTTGAGCAAGCTGGTGGGCAGGGGCTGGGCCTTCCGCAGAGCCAGCGGTGCCTGGTTCCACCGTTTCCATGGTAACCAGCTGTCAGGAGCTGTGAGGCTCCCCAGGCGCAACCCCTTACCCCATCTCCTGTGAAGGAGGGGGCTTCAGACAAGGATCTGGGAAGGAGCCAAGTGGGGTGAGGGACCCATCTAGCCCCTTCCTCAGAAGCTCTGTCCTGGACAGGTGGGCCCTCAGGCCATCACCAAGGCAGAGCAGTGGTCCCAGACCTGTAGAGGGAAGAAGATTGGCTGAGGAACAGTTGGCCCACCAAAGCTGGAATCTTCTCAGAGACTCAGTTTCCAGTTCTGAGACGTGGGAGAGCCGGGTTGTGGGTGGTTTAGGAGAGGAGGTTGCTCTGGACACAGGCAAATGTGGGGGACCGACATTCCAGGCCTTCCCTGCCCCTCTCCCTAGGCCCATGCTGACCTACCGTGTGGATGCCGACAAAGGCTTCAACTTTTCCGTGGGGGACGATGCCTTCGTGTGCCAGAAAAAGAACCACTTCCAGGTGACAGTGTATATCGGCATGCTGGGCGAAGCCAAGTACGTCAAGACGCCCGAAGGCCTTAAGCCCCTCGACTGCTTCTATCTAAAGCTGCATGGAGTGAAGGCAGGTTTGGGGGCTTGGCAGGGAGGGGCAGAAAACAACCCCCCACTTATGGCCAAATCCAACCTTGCTGGCTTGACTGTGCCCTTTCCCGCCTTAACCCCTGCCCCTGACTCCCATCACTTCTCTCCACAGCCCTGTTTACATCTCTACCCTGTGACCCCCAAGTCTGTCGGCTGTCCCATGACCTCTAGCTCTGTGTCCCAAACTGAATTCCCTTTGAACTTGGGCCTGGTCACCCAGGCCAGAACTCTGCAGCCTCTTGCCCTCACCTCCTATGCTGTCCCACCCCCTTCTCACCCTCGCCCTCCTCTCGCTCCTCCTTGTCTGAATGAGCGTGGAAGTTTCCACCGTGGCTCCTGGTCCACCTGAGATGTGGGTGAGCTCCCCAGGCTTTCCAGCAAAGCCCCTATTTCTGAGCTTAGCCCAGAAGGGCCCCCAGGTCTAACCCTTCTCTCCTACCTTGCTATTTGTTGGGCCCCAAATGTCTTGTGCCTTTCTGGAGAAGACCGTGGGTGGTGCAGATAGTAACAGAAAAGTTGGCAGTTTGAGTCCACCCGGAAGTACCTTGGAAAAAAGGCCTAGCAGTTGACTTCCGGAGATCACAGGCTTTGAACACACTGTGGCACACAGTTCTGCTCCGACACACCTGGGTCGTCAGAAGTTCAAATAGACTCTCTGGCAACTTCTGGGGCCTTGGGGGGCTGCCTTTCTGGGCTCCGTCTCCCTGGAAGACCCTCCCAGCACTGTATTCAGCCCCCTCTCCTGGCTGGCTCCTTCGCTGTCACTGTTTGCGTTCATGCTGCCACCCTCTCAGGAAGCCCCCTGGGCAGGGCCAGAGTCTGTCTCCTTTAGGGTTGTGAGCTGGGCCTGGCATGTTGGCATGGCTCAGCTGGTGCTGCTGGAGGGGTAGAGGGGATTGTGGGGCAGGAGAGGGTGTCGGGGAAGGCTGGGGGCTAAGTGTACACACAGATGAAGTGGTGTGTGGGGGGTAGGGGCTGTGAGGGTACTGAGGGTGTGCACACACAGAAGCGGGGGGTAATGTGTGAGGGGTGCCTGCCGGGGTCTGTGCAGGTACAAGTGGGAGGAGTGAGCTGGGTAAGCATGTTGGGGACGTGAGGGGAATGGAGTGACTGGAGGTGTTTAAGACCTGGCACCTGAATTGGTGGTGATGTGAGATGGGCCGTGTGGTCCTGCTGGGTTAGCTGCGGCCTGAGGGGTGCAGGTGGGCAGAGCAGGTGCCAACAGGACCCTCTCCTCAGCTGGAGGCCCTGAATCAGTCCATCAACATTGAACAGTCACAGTCGGACCGGAGCAAGCGGCCCTTCAACCCGGTCACGTGAGTGTCTGACTGGCTGCGGGTGGGAGCTGAAGGGGGCCGGTGAGGGGCTCACAGCTTTTACCTCCCACCAATCCTGGCCTGGGTGCCCCTCTCAGGCCCCTCCTCCCTGACTCCTGAGTGCCCAGCCCTTCCCCTGCAGGGTCAATCTGCCCCCCGAGCAGGTCACCAAGGTGACCGTGGGGCGGCTCCACTTCAGCGAGACTACTGCCAACAACATGCGCAAGAAGGGCAAACCCAACCCTGACCAGAGGTAAGCAGCTGGTCCCTGTCCTGGGGGGAAGCGGTACACCAGGGGCAGAGTCTCACAGCTGGACCCATTTTACAGACAAACGACTGAGACTCAGGGCCCTTAGTTGACATGTGTTGTTGTTGTTATGTGCCATCAAGTCGGTACTGACTCATAGCGACCCTATGTACAACGGAACAGAAACACTGCCCGGTCCTGGGTCAACCTCACAATTGTTACTACGCCTGAGCCCATTGATGCTACCACTGTGCCAATCCATCTCATTGGGGGTCTTCCTCTTTTTTGCTGACCCTCCACTCTACCAAATGTGATATCCTTCTCCAGGGACTGGCCCCTCCTGACATGTCTGAAGTATGAGAGATAAGTCTGGCCATCCTGGCCTCCAAGGAGCACTCTGGCTGCACTTCTTCCAACACAGATCTCTTTGTTCTTTTGGCAGCCCATGGCACTTTCAATATTCTCCTCTAACACCATTACTCAAAAGCATCAATTTTTCTGCAGTCTTCCTGATACACTTTCCAACGTTTGCATCCATATGAGGTTCTTGAAAATACCACGGCTTGGGTCAGGCGCACCTTAGTCCTCAAACTAACATCTTTGCTCTTCAACATTTTAAGAGGTCTTGTGCAGCAGAGTTGCCTAATGCTATACGTCATTTGATTTCTTGACTGCTGCTTCTGTGAGTGTTGATGGTTGATCAGAGCTAAATGAAGTCTTTGACAACTTCAACCTTTTCTCCTTTCATATGAATGTTGTTTATTGGTCCAGTGGTGAGGATTTTTATTTTCTTTACATTGAAGCGCAACCCATACTGTGGTCTTTGATCTTCATCAGTAAGTGTTTTAAGTCCTCTTTACTTTTAGAAAGTAAGATTGTATAATCGGCATATTATACATATAAGTTGTTATTGGGTCTTCCTCCAATCTTGATGCCACATTTTTCTTCATATAATCTAGCTTCTCAAGGAGCTCTGGTAGCGTAGTGGTTACAAATTGGGCTGCTATCCTCAGAGTCAGCAGTTTGAAACTACCAGCTGTTCCGCAGGAGAAAGATGAGGCTTTCTGCTCCCGTAAAGATTTATAGTCTCGGAAACCCTGTACAGGGTCGCTATGAGTCGGAACCGACTCCACGACACATAACAACAACAACAACAATGTAGCTTCTCAGAATTGTTCAGCCTACAGATTGAGTAAGTATGGTGAAGGAACACAACCTTGGTGTACACCTTTCCTAATTTTAAACTTTTCGGTGTTCCTTTGTTCTGTTTGAACAACTGCCTCTTGGTCTATGTGCAGGTTCCTCATGAGCACAATTAAGTGTTCCAGAATACTCATTCTTCACAATGTTGCCCACAGCTTGTCATGATCCACACAATTGCCAGCCTTTGCATAGTCAACAAAGCACAGGGAAACATCTTTCTGGTATTCTATGCTTTTAGCCAAGATCCATCTGATTGTCAGAAATGATATCCCTTGTTCCACATCCTCTTCTGTATCTGGCTTGAACTTCTGAAAGTTCTCTGTCAATGTATGGTTGCTCCTGTTTTTGTATTATCTCTAGTAAAACTTTACTCACATAGGATATCCATGATATTGTTCGATGATTTCCACATTCCATTGCATTACTTCTCTTTGGAAGGGGCACAAATATGGATCTCTTCCAGACAACTAGCCAGATAGTTGTCTTCCAAATTTTTTAGCTTAGATGAGTGAATGCCTCCAGTGCCGCATCAGTTTGTTGAAAAATTTCAATTTGTATTCCATCATTTCCTGGTGCCCTTATTCTTTGCCAATGCCTTCAGTGCACCTTGGACTTCTCCTTTAGTATCATTGACTCTTGATCACATTCTGCCTCTTGAAATGGTTGAACACTGTACCATTACTTTTGGTACAGTGACTGAGTTTTCCTTCCATCTTCTTTTTTTTTTTTTTTAAGCAAAACAAACATTATTATGATCAAATATCCTTCCATCTTCTTTTGATGTCTTTTGCATCATTCAATATTTTGCCCAGAGAATCCTTCAGTAACTCAAGTTGAGGCTTAAATTTTTTCTTCATTTCCCTCAGTTTGAGAAATGCTGAGCATGTTCTTCCCTTTTGGTTTTCTAACTCCAGGTCTTTACACATTTCATTATAATATTTGACTTTGTCGTCTCTAGCTGACCTTTGAAATTTTCTGTTCAGCTCTTGTACCTCCTCACTTCTACCATTTGCGTTAGCATCTCTATGCTGGAGAGCAAGTTTTAGAGTATCTTCTGACATCTATTTTGGTCTGTACCTTCTTTCTTATCTTCTTAATGACATTAGGATGAGGATTTGAGACCTCTGGTTTTCTAGTTGTTATCCTTGAGGCATGTCTGCCCCCTAGTGGAGACTCAGGACCCTCCTTCATAGCATGTGGTGCCTATGCCCTCTTCCTGGGAGTTTGGGAACCTGGATGAGGTCACCCTGTGGGCAGCATTGTGCATTCTGGCCATGAGGGGTAACTTGTGTGGGCAGGGAGAGGTAGGGCAGGGCTTTTGTGCCTCTAAGACCCCAATGTGCACCAGGTACTTCATGTTGGTGGTGGCTCTCCAGGCCCATGCACAGAACCAGAACTACACACTGGCTGCCCAGATCTCCGAGCGAATCATCGTGCGGGTGAGGGCCACCGCCTCCAGCCCCCACTCCCCCCACCCCCCCACCCCCCCGGAGCTGGAGGAAACGTTTAGCACCCAGGAGAAATACTGAGGGATTGGGGAGTCATGCTGGGCAAGGCTTGCGCCCGGTAAAATACGGAGCTGACCAGGCAGCCTCTTAGCACCCCACCATGGACTAAACTCTCACAACGGGAAGGATGGTTTAAGTTGGGGGCCTGGTGGGGCAAGAGCTCTGGCCGGAGTGGGTGGGTCGGCTGCAGAATTTCCTCTTTCCCAGGTCGCTACGGTATCCCCCATGGCTGACCCCACCCCAACTCTCCCTAGGCCTCAAATCCCGGACAGTTTGAAAGCGACAGCGACGTGTTGTGGCAACGGGCGCAGGTGCCCGACACAGTCTTCCACCACGGCCGCGTGGGCATCAACACAGACCGGCCGGACGAGGCGCTGGTTGTGCACGGCAATGTCAAGGTCATGGGCTCGCTCATGCACCCCTCGGATCTGCGGGCCAAGGAACAAGTGCAGGAGGTGTGTACGGGGCTGTGGACGAGAGGCGGGGCTGGCGGAGAAGGGAGGTGCGGTGAGCCGCTGGGGGCGGGGCTCCTGACCAGGTGGAAGGGCGGGGCTTTTGGAAACTTGGAGGCAGGGCTTGACCCTGGATCTCCGGAGCCCTGGGCCGTCGTGGCAGGGTCTCCGGTCCTGGACTACTGCCCTCCTGGACTCTGACCTTTCACCCGTGTAGCCCCCGGAGGGAAGGGATTCAGCATGGGTCCTGGCTTCCCGCAGGTGGACACCACGGAGCAACTGAAGAGGATCTCGCGCATGCGCTTGGTGCACTACAGATACAAGCCCGAGTTCGCAGCCAGCGCGGGCATTGAGGCAGCGGCGCCAGAGACCGGTAGGGGCCGGAGGGGGGCGCAGAACTCAGTCCCCTTCCCCTGGGATCCTTCCTTCCAGGAATGCACCCCTCTCCACCCCAGCCTTACCCCTAGAATTGAGACCATCTGAACACCTGTCTCGAGTGTCCCCTGCCCTCGGGCACCTTGGAACCCAGTCACTGGTCCCCAGAACTTTGCACTCTCGGTGCCTGGCCCCCTCGTTGTATTAAGGTGCTGTGGCATCCTCCCTGACCCACACTGGGCTCTCCCCCCTCCTCCCCAGGTGTCATTGCCCAGGAAGTGAAGGAGATCCTGCCAGAGGCCGTGAAGGATTCAGGAGCCGTGGTCTTCGCCAACGGGAAAACCATAGAGAACTTCCTGGTGGTGAACAAGGTCTTTGGGCAAGGGGGATGGAGGGCCCACCGGGCATCATCTCCTCCTTAGGCACTGGTGGGCGGTGGCCAGGGCAGGAGCAGCTGGAACCTTCTTTCCTGTACCTCCAGAGCCCCCCACCCCTAGGCTCCCAGAGAAGGGGTGAGTGGTCATGGGGAGGTGGGGAGACTTAGCTGCTCCTAGGTTATGTGATGAGGCTAAGAGGAAAGTAGCAGAGGGTTGCTTTCCACCTCAGTACAATAAGGATAATAGTAACCCCCATTTCATTCTCTTGTGGTTGTTGCGCAGCGTAAACACGTGACTTATTGTGAGGAGCCCCTGAGTGGTATAAACAGTTAATGTACTCAGCTGTTGACCCAAAGGTTGGAGTTTCTAATCCACTTAGAGGAACCTAGGAAGAAAAGTCTGGTGTTCTATTTCTAAAGAATCAGCCATTGGACCCTATGGTGCACTGTTGTGTCCTCACACCCATGAGGTCTCCATGAGTGGAAAGCAACTCAGGGACAACTGGTTGTTACTGTGGTTATAAGGACACTGTCAGTGTATCTGACACAAGGCTGTAAAGTACTGAAGCTTGAGTCACCATGAAAGTCATGAAGAGAGATCACAGGGCTGCAGCCTTTAGGCATGGGGGTGGCAGGGTGTTCGGACAGGGAGAGGAAGGACTGTCTGAGCAGGGGGTGAGGTCCTGTTAGAAGTCCATCACGGGGAGCCATAATGGCCAAGGCTGGACTGGAGAGGCAAGGCAGAGCTGGGAAGGGAGATTTTCACAAAGGCAGGCGCGGGGAGTGGGGCTCCTCTCCTATTTCCTACCTGGCCCTCGCCCTTGGCAGGAGCGCATCTTCATGGAGAATGTGGGGGCCGTAAAGGAGCTATGCAAGCTGACGGACAACCTGGAGACACGCATCGATGAGCTGGAACGCTGGAGCCATAAGCTGGCCAAGCTGCGGAGACTCGACAGCCTCAAGTCCTCTGGCAGCTCGGGTGCCTTCAGGTAGGGTGGTGGGGGTAGGGACAGGGAGGAAAACATCCCCTTCCTGAGGTGCCACTGATCCTGGACCTCTCTCTGCAGCCACGCTGGGAGCCAGTTCAGCCGGGCAGGCAGCATTCCCCATAAGAAGAGGCCCCCCAAGGTGGCCAGCAAGGTGAGGGGTAGGCGGGCAGCCAGTGGCTTCCACTCCCCACGCAGCCTCTCACCCAGCTTGGAGTACCAGGGTCTCCTTCCTCTCCCCTCTCCCTCTGCTCCTCTGGGGAATGGTGGAACACGGTTCCCTTGCCTCCAGCAGAGCCCACAATGGGTACGAGCATGATGCCCTACATTTGGGCCAGACTTGACGTCTCCTCTTTTTCTTTCCTGTGTCCCTCTCTGGTCTCAGGCATCGTCGTCCGTGGCCCCAGACCAGGCCTGCATCAGTCAGCGCTTCCTGCAGGCCACCATTGTCGCCCTGGTCTTAGTCATGGCCTTCAGGTGACCTGCCCCAGGCTCTGAGGGTGGTTGTCTGGGGAGTCAAGGTGCCCAGTGAGGTCAGGCCTTGGGTGGAGGAAGACGGTGGGCTGCCTCATGAGATCTTCCCCCAGGAGTGGTGGTGGTGGTTCTGTGCTGTGGAGTCGATTCCGACTCATAGAGACCCTGTACAGGGTTTCCGAGGCTGTAAATCTTTACAGGAGCTGAAAGCCTCATCTTTCTCCCGCGGAACAGCTGGTAGTCTTGAACTGCTGACCTTGCGGTTCACAGCCCAATTCGTAACCATAGGGAGACCCATTTACAGGCACCCTAGGAGCCCAGTCCCTGGGGCATTGGGTGGTGGTTCAGGATCTGACAAGGACCCTTTTTTGTGGCCCCAGCGTGGTGTCTATGTCCACACTGTATGTGCTGAGCCTACGAACTGAGGAGGACCTGGTGGACACTGATGGGTACGTTCAGGGTGGCCAGGCTGGGCTTTGGTGGCAGTCCACAGGGGCAGAGGAGCAGAATAACCTCTTTGAGGTGCCCAGCCTCAGGCTCTCACCTCCTGGCAACCTTGGGGTGGTGGGAGGGATTTCCCCAAAGGTGAGCAGCTGTTTCCTGGTCCTTGCTGAAGCTGATATCGCTTTCTGGCCTACTCAGTGCTGGACCTCTGAAACTCGGGGGACCAGAGGGGTCCGGGTCTTAGGGTTGGAGGAGGGAGGGTCTCAGGGCTCTGTCTGCCCACTGTGCTTCCAGCTCTTACTGTGTCTTCTCTCTCTCCCCCACCCCTCGCACCTCTGTCCCCCACTGTCTCTCTGCTGCCCCTTAGCTCTTTTGCTGTATCCACTTCCTGCCTCCTGGCTTTGCTCCGGCCCCAGCACCCTGGGGGGAGTGTGGCCATGTGCCCATGGTATGTGTCTGGACCAAGTGCCCTTCCCACCTCATCTCCTGCTGCCCTTCTTCCTGCCTCCTCTCCACCTGCCCTCTCCTCGCCTTCTGCCCCTCCTGTTACTTTGGGACCCCCAGGCTTCCCCCGCAGGTTCTTCCAGCCCCTCTGAGCTCAGCCCCCGCTTCCCCAGCAGGTCCAGCCAGAGCTTTGGGACCACACAGCTTCGACAGTTCCCTGTGACCGATGGGCTGCCTAGCACACGGTCCTCTTTGTTGCCGGGTGCGTGCCCAGGGGCTGGTCAGCAGCAGATGGAAGCAGGGAAGGGCTGTGGGGAGTGGTTGGGTTCTGGTCAGGGGTTCTGTGGCCCCTTCGGCTCACAGAATTTCCAACTCCTTCAGTTACCACTGGCCTACCCAGCTCAAGCCCTGGTCCGTCGATCCGCACCTTGCACCTGTGCCCCAATCAATCCTGCCCAGCCGTCTGCTGCTCCTCACATACCCCCAGCCCTCCCACTGACCCCAGTCTTGGCTCCAGCCCCAGTCTCGACACCAACCATTCAGGTGTGGCTTTCTTGGGGCCAGGGCTTGGGTTTTGGGGGCTAACTTGAGTATATGCAAAATTCAGAAGACTCAGTGGTGGGGCCCAGAGTGAAACTGCTGGCAGGAGGGTGAGGGCAGATTGGGGGAATCTTCCAGAAGGCATTAGAAGACACATGGGGATCCACTAGAGCCCTAAGGTAGGTGGGCAGGAGGCCGCCGCCTTAGCTTTTCTCTGGTTCTTTTCACAGGCCTCAGTCAGCTGGCTCTACTGCCAGTCACCAGTATCAGAGCCAAGTCCTGGGGCTTTTCAGCCAATGGCATTGGCCATTCCAAACATCCCAAGAGCCTGGAGCCTGTGGCCAGCCCTGCGGTTCCCTTTCCTGGGGGGCAGGGCAAAGACAAGAATAGCCCCAGCCTTGCATTCCATGGCCGGGCCCGCAGAGATGCTCCCCAGCCAGGTACTTATCCCACCTGCCACCTCTCAGCACAGTAGCCTGGGCCCAGTCACCAGACTGTTTGTCATCAGACCTTTGCTGAGTCAGGTTTATGTGTGATCAGCTCTATGTCGATTGTCTCTGTGACTCGTCACCCCACGCCTTCAGAGGAAGAAATAGGCCCAGGGCAGACAGTCCAGCAGCAGCAGATCTGGGATTCGATCCCCGGTCTGCCTGACTCCCACATCAGCATCCTGGAGTGACAGAGTGCTGTACTGGGTCCCTCAACGTGTCCCCAGGCTTCAAACCTTCGGTTTTAACAGAGAAAGAGAACCCTTTACTGCAGGGATAGTCAAGTGGGTTCCTGTCAGATTCCCTGGGGGCTGCTGTTGGGATTGATGGGGAGACTAGGACCGTCTGACTTCTGTCAGGCACCTCTGCTCTAGGTATTTAGAGTTTCATGCCTTTAAAATAAAAAAAAAAAAATTTAAAAAAAGCAAAGCTTAGAAAGCGTGACTGGGCAGAGATGGAAAGTGCTGGAGAAACCCCAAGGGGACGCTATTCACTCGGCAGCCATTTTCCTGGGCTGCTCTGAGGCTGGCACTGGGCATGAAGACAGACGTGTCCTGCCCCCAAAGAGCTGGCAGACACGAAAATACCAGGGGCTTTAAAAAGTGCATGGAAAATGGAAAGAAATGATAATGGGATCTTCCCACGCACTTTCTGAAGCCCCCTTTCTTAACATATGGTAAGGCTCTGAGGAGGCAGCTCTGGGGTGGCTGGGTAGGAACTCACTCTCACTCTGAGCTAAGGTGGGGAGATCATCAGGGAAGACTCCCTGGAGGTAGTGATGTTGGAACTGAATTTTTAGAAATAGTATGGTGGTGGTGGTTATGTGCCATGGAGTCGGTTCCGACTCATAGCAATCCTGTACAGGGTTTCCGAGGCTGTATATCTTTATAGGAACAGAAAGCCTCATCTTTCTCCCACGGAACAGCTGGTAGTTTTGAACTGCTGACCTTGCAGTTCGCAGCTCGATTCGTAACCTCTGTGCTACCAGAGCTCCTTAGAAGTCGAATGAGGGGCCATCAAAAAGTTGGTGGAAAACTGCAAGTTGAAAGAGAATGGCATTTTCCCATACATTTAAGTTTACAGAGCAAATCCGATTCCACCTTGACAATTTTTATACAAGTTATCCTGTGACATTGGTTATAATTTGCACAATTAGGTCACCATTCTCACCATTTCCATACTGTTCGTTCTGTTTCTGTTGCTCTAGGTTCCCTGCCCCTCTTTGCTTTTGGGTAAATGTGGACCGTTTGGTCTCAGATAGTTGATTGAAGGTGCACATTACTCACAGGTGATGATTGTTTCTTTTATGAGCCAATCTATTGTTTGGCTGGAAGGTGACCTTCAGTAGTAGCTTCAGTGCCAAGTTCAAAGGACATTTTAGAGCAATAGTCTCTAGGGTTCCTCTAGTTGCTATTGGTCTAACAGGTCTGGCCTTTTTTTTAGGAATTAGAATTTTATTCTGTGTTTTTTTTTCCCATTCTCTTTGGGACCCTCTATTGTGTGCTCATCATGCTGTGAACCTTAAGGTCAGCAGTTCAAAACTACCAGCTGTTCCACAGGAGAAAGATGAGGCTTTCTGCTCCTGTAAAGATTTATAGCCTCGGACACCCCGTACAGGGTCACTATGAGTCGGAACCGACTCCACGGCACATAAACACCACCACCACTTCCCTGGAGGAAGATCTCACGAGGCAGCCCACCGTCTTCCTCTGCCCCAGGCCCCACCACACTGTGTTCCCGGGCAGAAGGCTTGGTGGTGGTAGCTAGGCACCATCTAGTTCTAATTGGAAGAAGCTGGGGTTTATGTAGGTTGTTTTTTCTTTGAATCTTTGGTTTGTTGGTTTTTTCCAATTTCTTTTTCTCCAGATGACTGGAGACCCATAGTTGGTATCTTAGGTGGCTGCTCAAGTGCTTTTAAGACCCAAGACACTGCTCACCCAACTAGGATGTAGAACCACATCCACATTCTCCTCATGAACTGCTACTTCAGTGGACTGTGTTGTCCTCCAAGTGTGTAACAAAATTTGAAGCATGCTTCAAGTTGCTTTCAAAGGCAGGTGGTTGTTGTTCGTTGCCATCGAGTCAAATTCCAACTCATGAGGACCCCATGTGTGCAAAGTAGAACTGCTGGGAGTTTTTGAAAGCAGATTTCCAGGCTTATCTTCTGAGTCGTTTTTGGGTGGATTTGCACTGTCATCCTTTCAGTTAGGGGATGACTGATGAAGCACTTGTGCCACTCGACCTCCTGGACTTGAGTGTGGAAGGGCTGTAGGGATTTGCCACAAAGATAAATGGGAAGCGCCTCTGCATTGGGCCTTGTGGAGCTAAAATGTGCTGAGTCCAGCAAATGGCCGGTGGCCCCAGCTCCCTCCTCCCCGAGGATATCAGCCAGCAGCAAGTATGTGGGTGCACTGGGTAGGAGAAAACCCTGTCTCCTCTGCCCCCACATCACACAGAACATGAGGGACTCCGGTCCCCCCAAGCTCCAATCAACCAGTCTGGGCTGGTGCCTTCAAGCAGTGGTGTGAGGGCAAATATTTAAGAATTGGCTCTCAGGGACCCAGGTCAGTGTGGGGTGAATACTCCCCTGTGGCCTATTTCACGCTACCAACTTAATGACACTGAACCCAGAGTTGGGAAGAGCTGTGCACCATCAGGAAAAGAGGTCTAATCGGGCCCCTGAACCCCACTGGCAAGGGATATGGAAGTCCCATCTCTGGTCAAAAGTGTTCAAGAACAAAGATGTCATTTTGAAGACTAAGGTGTGCCTGACCCAAACCATGGTATTTTCAATAACCTTGTGTGCATGCGAAAGTTGGGCAGTAAGGAAGACTGCAGATGAATAGATGCATTTGAGTTACGGTGTTAGAGGAGAATATTCAAAGTTGCATGGACCACCAAAAGAACAAACATCTGTGTTGGAAGACGTGCAGCCAAAGTGCTTCTTAGAAGCCAGGATGGCCAGACTTCGTCTCTCATATTTTGGACTTACCATCACTAGTGACCAGTCCCTGGAGAAGAACATTGTGCTTGGTAAAGTGAAGGGTCAGTGATAAAGAGGAAGACAGCCCCCCCCCCCCCAAGATGGATTGGCACAGTTGCGGCAGCAATGGGCTCAAGTTGGCCCACGTAATGTTTCATTCTATTGTACATAAGATCACTATGAATGGGTACCAACTCCATGGCACCTAACAACTGTAATCTTTGGTCCCAAGTGTTTCCATTCTGTGGAGGAGGCAAACCTTCGGCTCATGAGAACTGACTAGTCCTGGGCTAATGGGAGAAGAGGGTGGTATGATCCTTTAAGTCATTGTGGGAGTTTAGAATGGACAACTATGAATTTATTCATCATATAAAATGTGCATAACTGATTCGAGTCTAGCAAGCACGGTCTTGGTGGATTCTGCTTGCACCAACATCCTCTCTCTTGCAGACCCAGTGCCCTCCCTGACCTCCATCCAGGTGTTGGAGAACTCACTACCCATCACATCCCAGTACTGCGCTCCAGGAGATGCCTGCAGGTGGGCATGGCTCCCTCCCAGGGCATGTGACCCAGGCCCCTGGGTGCCCATCCTCTGAAGGACTAACACAAGCAAACAAACCTCAGGGTTCAGTCCTAGACCAACGCAATAAAGCAAGAAACGCAATGAAGCCAGTCAGACATTTTCTGGCTTCCCAGTATATATGACAGTTACGTTTTCACACTCCTATAGTCTATTGGCTGGAGAAAGAGGATGCTGTCTGCGTGCGTTTAAAGGTTTATAGTCTAGGAAACACTAAGAAGGAGTTCTACTCTGCCTTGTGGGGTTGATTTGAGTCGGGATTGACCCGGTTTAGGGTTTTGGGTATTCTATTTCATGTGCTGGTGTGGTGCTGTAGGACAAGCACTGGACTGCGAGCCACAAGGTCAGCTGTTCAAACCCACCAGCTACTTCTAGGAAATCTTATACGGGGTCACTGAGTCGGAACGGGCTCAACAGCACTGTGTGTAGTCACATTAGTAAAAAAAAAAGTCTGAAATACCGGGAAATAACCACAATTTGACACACAGACACAGTGTGACCACACAGGGTTGGAAAAATGGGGCCGATAGGCTTATTCACTCGCTGTTCTTCGATCTGTATAAAAGGCGGCATCTGTGGAGTGTGGTGAATAAGGGGTGCCTGTCAGGACTGGGGGCTGCGGGTGGGTGGCGTGGGGGCTGAGAAGCCAGCTTTGTCTCTTTAGGCCTGGGAACTTCACCTACCGCATTCCTGTCAGCAGCAACACCCCACTGCACCTCAGCCTGACCCTGCAGATGAAGTGAGTGTTGGGGTGGGAGGGGGCCCAGGAGTCCTGGGGGTGCTATAAGATAAGCATTGGACTGCTAACCACAAGCTTGGCAGATCAAAGCCACCAGCAGTTCTGTGGGAGAAAGATGAACTTGTCTGTCGGCATCGAGTTAGCCTTGGAGACGATAAGGCCGCTAGGAGTCAGAATCAAATCGGTGGGAGGGGCTTTGGTTGTGGTTAACCAGCTTTGTGACCCCGGCAGTCATTGTCCCCCTGGGCTTGTTTCTCATCTACAAAATGGGGATACTGCTTCATGGGGGCCACGTGGCATGGTGGATGGGACCCTCTTAGGCTGTGTTAGCGGGCAGCATGAAGGTTCAGGGCTTGCTTCATGAGTAGGGACTTCGTGTCCACCTCCCTGCTGACTGGGCCTCTCCCCAGCTCCTCGTCGCCTGTGTCTGTGGTACTGTGCAGTCTGACATCAAAGGAGGAGCCGTGTGAGGAGGGGGGCTTCCCACAGAGCCCTCCAACCCACCAGGACACCCAGGTAGGGCAGAGCTTCCCTTCCCTCATACCACTGGGCCCCCAAAGAGGAGGGGAGGGGCGTCCATTCCTTCAGCTGTCCTGCCCCCACCCTCACAGAGCCCAGCTTGGGATGGTGCAGTGGTGGGTGGGGACAGCAGCGTGCCCTGGAGCTGACCTGGCCTGGTCTCAGGGCGAGGCTGGCCATTCTGGGAAGTCACTTCTATGTTGAGACCTGAAGGATGGTTTGGGCTCAACCAGGGAGACAAGGGAACAGGGCTCCAGGAGTGAGGAACAGTGTAAGTGATGATAGTGGGGGTTGCGTTGGGGGGAGCAAGCATGTCCTGGCAGAACTGAAAACAAGGTCATCTGTGAGACAAGGATAAGGTGGGGTGTGTCTGGAGGAGCCTGGCCCTCAGACACAGGCCGGGGAAGTGGCTGCGGTCTGCTCTGGGAACTGAGGGCTTGGGCTCAGACACTTTCCTGGCCATGTGACCAGAAGTTATGATGCTCCGAACTTGGGGTCAACCACTAGTCCAGGGAGATGGTGCTCAGCACAAGTTAGGGAAAGCCTCCATAGTTCTCACACATCTGTGTTTATTCAGCACTAAGGCTGAACTTCCTCTGCCCCAGGCCCTGTGCTGAGCCCCGCTGGAGAGAGGAGGGCATACCCAGCTAGGAGCACACACTGGACACTGGGTGAATGAAAGCTTCAGCTGGGCAATGAGGAAGCCCCCTGTGGCTGGGCTTCGTGCCACTCTGAAAGTGAGAGAGCCCGTTAGACCTGGGTTTGAATCCCAGATCGGCGTCCCTTCCACTGTGGCAAAGTGATTCCATTTCCGTAACTGTTAGCCAGTGCTGTGCTGCTCCCCAGGGTTGGAATCTTCATGTACCTTTCTCCTAGTGAGCTTCCTGTTAGCATCCGAGTGTTTAGCTACTGCACCATCAGGGCCCTTGAGGGGTGCAGGGCAGACCTGTGCCTGCAGTGTGGTGCCTGAGAGGCAGAGCACAGACTAGGAAGGAGGCAGAAGCCAAGTGAGGAGCTGGGAAGCCAGCATAGAGGATGGGCTACCATTACTCCCCAAAGCAGCCGGTCTGCCTCTCACCGCCTCTCAAAGCTCTGTTTCTCCCTGTCATACAACCTGCTGCTGCCATGGCTCTGGGCTGGGGCAGGGGGCTGTCCTGACCCCTCTCTGCTTTCTCCAGGGTACATCCCACCAGTGGCCAATAACCATCCTGTCCTTCCGCGAGTTCACCTACCACTTCCGGGTGGCACTGCTGGTGAGCACAGTGCCCCATCTACCCTGATGGGGAGGTACCCAGAGCGAAAGTGTGCGGGGAGTTCACCACCTGGGAGAACATGGGGCACGGGCTCACGCCTAGAGCCGCCTGCCTCACCCTCCCTGCCCTTCCTCTCAGGGTCAGGCCAACTGCAGTACAGAGGCCACGGCCCAGCGGGCCACTGACTACTATTTCCGGTTCTCCCGCCTGTGTGACTGAGCGGCCTTCCCAGAGGTGGCCACACATTGGGACTGGAGGCATGGTGTCACACTGGAGTCTGTGCCCTGGCTCTCTGCTGCTCACTGGAATCCCCTCTGCAGAGACTGACGTCAGGGCTGGACTTTTCCTGAGACTGGGCAAACTGGAAGGCCTCACACTGGAGTTGCTGTTCCTGCCAGGAGCCCCTCACACCCCCTGCAGAGAGAGCCGGAGAACCTGCCAGAAGCCCCTCACACCCCCTGCAGAGGGGGCCAGGACAAGGCCCATTCACATCTGTCCAGATGGGGTTGGAGGGCTGGCTTCAGGAGCCCTGGAACTGAGGGAAATCCTGTACCTTAACTTGCCCTGACCTCCCCTTTAGAGACTGGGGGCGACCCCACTTTGGGGAGAGGTCCTGCCTGTCTTTGAGATCAGCCGGGGGGCTTGGCTGGAGCCAGGAGAGCCCTGCCCTCGTGGCTGCTCCGTGGGGGGGGGGGGGGGTGGGGGGGTGGTGGCTTGGCACAGGGTTTTTGGGGTTTGACTGTTACACTGGACTTGGACTTCTATGTTTGAAGCATGGCTCCCAAGAGCCGTTAGGGCCACCGAGGCCAGACTGCGTATATGTTCCTTAATGCCTGGTGGAAGCCGTGAACCCGAGCCTGGAGTGCCACCTCCTCCCACCCAGGAAGCCCCCTGAGAACTCACCAGGTCTCCACTCTGAGCAGAGGAGCAGGAATCTCTGCAAGGTTATCATAGGCACTCTTGGCTGCTGGTGGTGGTGGTGGTGTGCCGTGGAGTCAGTTCTGACTCATAGCGACCCTGTACAGGGTTTCTGAGGCTGTACATCTTTACGGGAGCAGAAAGCCTCATCTTATCTTTCTCCCGCGCAACAGCATTAGTTTCGAACTGCTGATCTTGCGGTTCGTAGCCCGATTCGTAACCACTATGCTACTTGGCTGGTGGGTGGGTGCAAATCGCTTTTGCTGTTATTAATGAAGTAATTAGTATGATGCACTTACACCAGGGCAGGAAGCAGTGGGAAGATGGAGCTAGAAAGCCCAGGGGGGCCAGAGGCCGGGGAAACATTGGCAAAGAAAGGCAGCAACTTCCATGAGCAGACGCTGGCCTCCCTTCTTGTCTGCCAGGGACAGCAAGCCATGGGGAGCCATGCTTGACATCAAGCCTCACCTTGGCCCAGCCTTCCAGGAGCTTCGGCTCCATTCTCTTTCTGAGTGGGAGCCTGGAGTCTTCCCATGCCACATTCAGGTTCCTAGACTAGAAATCATTTAATGTCTGCCCTGGGGTCAGAAATAGGATTTGCCTAATTCTCTTTGAGAACCAGGCCCTGCCCACTCCTACCTCTCATTCTTAGTTCGAATGGGTGGGCTTTCTGCAGGGAAACCCACTGAAGTGGCCTGTGCACCCCAGGCCCCTCTGCCATTCATCTCAAAGCACTTAACACCAGGACAGGGAAAACCAAAACAGAACCAACTCAGAAGGACTACAGAACAGAGTATCCAAGGCTATAACTCATAGAACCCAGACTGCCGCATCTCTCCTGTGGAACAACTAGTGGGTTCAAACTGCAGAACTTCACGTCGCCAGCTGAGCACTTAACCACTGTGCCACCAGGGTTTCTTAGGATGGGGAAACACCAGGGGCATTGGGCAGCGGGGATACCAGCGTTTCCCCAGTCTGGCTTTGCTGACCCCCTGGCACAGGGGCGGGCTGACTTAGGACTGCTCTCCCCACCCCAGGAGTCCTTCCTCGGGTCTGTCCACAGTAAGTCTGCCTGGGGCAGGACTTCAGGGTCTCCTTTGGCGATGGTGGACATTGTGGACTGTAGCCCGTCTAGTAACTGGAAAGTAACCCTCCACCACCCCTGGGGCCTGTCTGGACACAGCATATCCCGTTCTGGTTAGCAGCTGGCTGTTTTCCAACCCGCAGGGACTGGGGCTCCAAGCTGCTTGGGGGGTGAGGGAGGTGCTCAACCTTGGACCAAAGCTGCCTTATACCCAAGGTAAAAGGGCTTCAGGAAGAAACAGGGCCATCCAGGGGGTGTCGTGGCTCCACGCCCTAAGTCCCACAGCCCATTCCTTCTCGCTTCGAGCTGTACATAGGGCTTTGCAGCGCAGTTCCCCCGCACACACCATGTTGTTGTGTGCCGCCCAGTAGGTTCTGACTCATAGCAACCCTGTAGCCCCCTTAAAAGCCCGCGTGTGCATAGAGCCGCCTTCCCCAGTTAACTCCCAGTTCCCGTCCCTGAGCTCCAACTCATATTTATCTTGTACCAACTCTGAGGGGGGGCAGCAAGGGAAACAGCCCCAGGCCTGCTTGCTTCCTGCCCTGTTCTTTGTGGGGTAAATATACATATATAAATAAATGTATAAATACTGCTTTGTATCTGAGCTTGCCTCCCCACCTCTTCTTGCGTTAGGTCTGGTGTGGAAAGAAGTTGCCCATGTTGCTAGGCCAACTGGAACTCACAAGTTTTTTCTGAGAAGCTTGGGGGCTTTGCTGGGGACCACATCTTGTGATCCAGTATCCTTGGCTTCCCAGTAGGGCTGGGAACAAGACTTGGGAGCCCCTCAGCTGGCCACACCTCTTCCTTCACATAGACCTGCTGCTGCCCACTGGGTTACGAGGAGCCACCTTTGGAAAAAGCCTGCCTCTCAGAGGATAAGGGGCACTTTAAGAGGGTGCCCAGCCCAGACTGCCCGGTGCAGGTTCCTGCGGGCATTTGCTGTAGAAATGCTGCAAGCAGGCCTGTCCTGCCTCTTCCTGTCTCCTCCATGCCCCAGGCACATGTGTCCTTCCTGCAATCCTGATGGCCGAGGTAGAGAGTGGCAGGAGCCATCGGAAGGGCAGATGAGAGAGGGGATGACGTGGAACTGGGGAAGCCATGTGGGTCACAGCCGCAGCCCCACCCCTACAGAAAGACAGCCAGACTGCCTGTCAGTCACACCTCTGCCTTTATTGTGTATAGCAGCAGGTGGGACACTTGCAGCAACAGTAAAAAAATTAATTTACAAAAGCAGGGATCCCGTGAAGCAGTCTGATTGGTACCTGAAAGAGACGAGAAGAGGAGATTCAAGGGGAAGCCCGTGACCTTTCCTTCCTCCCCTCTGCTCCTGGGACCACGGCCTGGAGCCATCACTCAGTGACCCTGGAGGATCTACAGCAACTTTCAAGTCCCAGATCCCGGCTCCCTAACATGCGGCATCTCCAACCCCACCGCGTCCCCCTCCGGACAGTCCCCTCAGGTTAGACAGAGGCCTTGGGCACTGTGGAGATGACTCAAGTTCCCACTGCTGTCATCAAATCGACTGGGATACATGACGACCCCAGGAACTGCTCCCCAGAGTTTTCATGGCTATGACCATCTGGACACAGACTGCCAACCTGTCTTGTGAGAGGTGCTGCTGGGTGGGTCCACAGCACCAACCTGCCGGCTGGTAGTCAAGCGCTTAAACACCTTTGCCACCCCAGGGACTCCCATTGTTGTGTGCCAAGTTGGTTCCCACTCACCGCAACCCTGTATAGGGTTTCCAAGGAGCGGCTGGTGAGCTTGAACCACCGACCTTGCAGTCCAGAGCATTAACCTGCAGCACCACCCCAGAACTCCCATCAGGGAGAGGGAAAGGTGCATGTGCCTGGTGTCCCTACCTAGCCTGTGGAGCCAGTTCTGGTTAGCCAAAGGGCCATCCAGGGAAGAGCAGGAGTCGTCAGCTGAAGGAGATGTGGGAAGGCGTGTCCAAGCTGTGCCTTAGAGACCCGAGTATCCAACCCGGTGGCAGATCTTACCCTTGGGAGTCACACGTAGATGCCGACCCAGAGCAGCAGGAAGAGGACCCCAAAGCCCATGAAGAGGGAGGCCACCAAGGAGATGAGGAGTTCTTTGTAGATATCCCGCGTGTACTTGGTGGAGGTTACCTCATAACTGGAGAGGGTTGCTAAGGAGAAGTAAAGAGGCGGCTACAGGGAGCCTGGTGCTGGGTGAGCAAGGTCTGGGCTCAGGGCTTCCTAGGAGGCTTGTCTGGAAATGCTCTAGTGGTCCAGCCCTCTACCATACATAAAAGAAAATGAGGCCCAGAGGGGTTAGGCCACACAGCTAATGAATGGTGGATTGGTGGCTCTGGGACTAGCCCTCAGACCCCTGACATCTGAATGCACTCTTTCACCACTTTTCCCACTTCAGCCACCCTACTGCCAGCTCCGCTCCTGCCAAGCTCCCTGTTCTGGAAAGTTGCAAAGCAAACTGAGCTCAGACACACTTGGAAAATAAGGCCACAACCTGACCTTGGACATCGACAGACTTCCCTTGGCCTCTTACCTTTCCCAAGCCCCAATCCAATATATAAAACTGCCCCGGATGCTGGTACACAGTGTGTCTCCCTCCACTTCCCATATCCCTACCTCTGACCCACTGGCTACTCAGCAGTGTAAGGATACACGAAGAACCAGGCGGTGAAGAACATGCCAATGGCCAAGAGCACCACGGTCAGATGGGGGAAGACAGCTGGGTTCACTGGGCTGGTATACCTGCTCATAGCCTCGAGCTCCTAGGAGGACATGAGATCAGAGCCATCAAAGAATTCCACAGTTTCAACCTGGGAGGGGGTGGGGGCAGGGGCACTGGGGTGACCACTCCCCTCTCAGCTTGGGAGAGGTGGAAATCCTTCAGAAGCAACATCAAGTGAGTCCATTTACAAATGGCAAGAATGCCAATAAAAAAGACAATGACATCTTAAATTTACCTAGGAAGCACTTTGTCATTTCAATGAAACAAGGGCAGCCCAGACACAGAAAGTGATTAGCAATACATGAGATATTTCCTGAGGCGGATGACACCTATAAAAATGCCATGAAAAGTAGACTCTCTGGCTGGGCCAGAAAGAACAGACAAGAAAAAGGTTTATCTGGAGTTTTGTAGTTTTTTGTATACACATGTGTAAAGATACCCAGCTCTCAACTGTGAATTCAGTATTCTTCCCACCATGCTATGATGGCATCTCAGGATCGATGGGCAGAATGCAGCCCTTAAAATGCTAGCTCTGTGGATGAATGTGGTTATAATACTGTCTCTCTCACTGGGTTGGGGTCTGATTAAGAAAGATGATGAATGCCAGCATCTGGCTCCGTGGCTGGCACAGGTGTTTGCTGCTTTCCTAAACGTTACAGGGAAGATCAGGGGATAATAAAGGCTATGAAAGACAGCTGTAATGTCAAGTTCTGTACACAAGTTAACTTCCAATGTCACCCAGCAGCCACCGCTTCTAGCATCCAGAATATAACAACTCTAGGGAAGTAAACTGACCCCATTGTGCTCGGAGACACTAGAATTCAACTCAGTAAACATTTACGCACACACATCCCACCCTCTGAAAACGACCTAGACAATAGCTACCATTAACTGAGTCTCTCAATGCAAGCTCAGTGTTTGGCATTGGGAATACAAAGATGAATAGGCATCATCCCAGAGCAAGACGCACGTCAGACGGAGGCGTGGCAGGTAACAAAGATGTCTACGAAACGTGGCAAGAGATCTGCACAGCGCTCCGGGAGCTCCCGGGAGACGGCAGTGGAGTGTCGGCGAGCTTCACCATGACACTTGCCTGGGGCCTTACAGAATGAGTACGATTTCGGCAGGACCAGGAACTTTCCAGATAGAAACTTGGACAAAAGTTCCGAGGTACTGAAAATGCTGCCCCCAAACCCTCCCACCCTTCCAAACAGCACTTCGCTAAGTTCACAGCGAAGGGCTGTCCTACCCCGACACTTAATCTAAGAAAAAGGTTCCCGGAGCCTCCCGCTGTGTGGATCCCGGACGCCTAAAGTCTCCGCGAGAGAAACGAGGTGTGGGTAGGGCCCCGCGGGGCCACCACAGCCTGGGCCGGAATTCCCCTCAATTCTCTCACCATCTTGCCGGGTACTAGGTACGCCGCCGTTTTGCCACCGGAAGAACACGTCGGCAGGAGCTGGCGCCCCGTCCATCCGGAAGGGGAAGTGCCCCCACGCAAGTGGCATTATGGGAGTTGTAGTCATACGCTTTGGACTGGGCAGGCGTAGAAGCAGGGTCTGTGAGGGTCTGGTGTAAAGTCGGGGGAATCAGTGGTGCAAGGGTAGTACAGAGTTGTTGTTAAAGTTCGTTCCTACTGGCAAGACCGTTTGCCAAGAGAGAAGCTGGCTGGGGGATAGGGGTGGGGTGGGGGTGGGGCCGCGGGCCCCCGGTTCATGTACTACAATTCCCACGAGGCTGTGCGTAGCGAACCGCTCACGTGACGGGAGCGCGGGCTTTGGAAGACGGCGGAGCGTAAGGAGACCGAGCGGAGGAGGTAGTGGAGTTTGTGATTATCCCAGACAACGCTCCCGGTCCATACCGGATCAAACTCTAGTTGCCACAGCCGCGTGCCCTGACCCCAGGTGAGACTCGACGCAAGCTCGAAAGCGACAGGGTTCTCTTTGCTCTGCTTCTGTCGGGAGATCGGGTCTACAGAGGAAGGCGAGAGCTGGGCAATCAAGCTATCCCGCCACTTTCCCGCTCTGAGTAGGACCCTTCGCGTAACCTGAGAAGCCCCCCTTTGTTCAGAAGTGGAAAGAGGGTGGCAGTAACTTCCACCTTGGGACGTTCTGTGCGTTTCCTAAAATCCTGGATGAAAAATTATTTTTAAACTTAACTTGGGTGGGCCCCTTTTCTTAATAGCTCTGTGGTATGCAGTAGGGGAGACTACCCGCTTCGTATATACTCTAGGAGCCCTGGTGGCATAGTGAGTTAAGCGTTGGACTGCTACCAGAATGTCGGTTTCACCTACCCGCTGCTCCATGAGTCCCTTTGCTTCTGTAAAGATTCCATCCCAGGAAACCCAGGGGGGCAGCGTGGTGCTGCCAGTCAGAATGGACCCGATGGAATGGGTTAGCGCACATTCCAGCAAAGCAGCAGCCTGAAGCCTGAACCAAAGATCTGGATGGGAATGTTTACAGAACGTGTAACACTGGACTGCTAACCAGATCAGTGGTTCAAACCCACCAGCTGCTCCTTGGGGACCCTATACAGGCAGGGTTAACACTTATTTTAGAGTTGAAAGGAGTGTATTTAACTAGCTTAATAACGCCGCCCAGATGGTAAACGCAGGAGTCTAGGTACAAGGCCAGAGATCTTTGGATGGCGCAGAGACTGTGCTAGAGAACTTTTAGGTAAAGGTTGGCAGTTCTAACCCACCCAGCGGTATTGCGGCAATCTCATTACCACCAAGAAACCCCTCTGGAGCAGTTCTGCTATGTAACACACGGGGTCACCATGAGCAGGAATCGCCCCGATAACCACAGGTTGGGTGTGTTTTATTCACAGAGGAGCAAAAATGAGTTGGATCTTGGAGGGAGGGATTATAGTTAACACACTTGGTTGGGTGGGTGGGTGAGTGCTACCGAGTTGATTCTAACTTATAGCGACCCTGCAGAGGGTTCAAAGACTAAATCTGTTTACAAGAGCAGAAAGCCTCATCTTTCTCCTGTGGGACGACTGGTAGATTTGAACTGCTGACCTTGTAGTTAGTAGCCCAAGTAGTAATCCACTGATAAAACACAGACGAATGTCTCCTTTTCAACTTATTTTAGTTTAAAATAAAAACTATGTCTGTTGAGGGACATTTTAAGTTCATAAGTAAAGGTTTTAGCCAGATGTGCCAAAAATACATTTGACTGTGTGTTGTAGTTGCTTTTGTATTTAGCTCATTTTGCTTTCTTTGTGTCACTGAGATTTGGGCTGAGTTCTGCCCTTAGGTCCCTGGATTCCTGAATTTCGGCGAGCGCTCCTCTGGACTTCCATGGTCCTCAATGCGGACATCTGGTGTGGCCTTTATTTCATGCTGGATTATGACACTGCTGTAACCACAGAAGTCGAAGCCCCTCAGGGACATCAATGTTGTTGTCTTACTCTGCTTTGCACCCAGTTCAGTTCTCAGGAATACCCACTGCGTGAGCATTCCTGTGACACCGCGAATTCCCAGAGAATGGGGACCAGATCCTATACATCTTTACAACTCCTCATGGCTGCTTGGTGTCCTTGTCGTGCTGGCTTTGTTAGCTGGAGGTCTGAAGTTGATGAGATAGCACCAGTTATAAACTTCACTCTTTTTATATCCTCAAAGTTCCTCTTCTTAATTGCCTTTTTGTTTCCCTCCCTTAGAGCTGCCCCACCTCTGTGTTGCCATGGGAATTCAAGGCCTAGCCAAACTAATTGCTGACATAGCCCCTGGCGCCATCCGGGAGAACGACATCAAGAGCTACTTTGGCCGCAAGGTGGCCATCGATGCATCCATGAGCATCTATCAGTTCCTGATTGCTGTTCGCCAGGGGGGCGATGTGCTGCAGAACGAGGAGGGCGAGACCACCAGCCACTTGATGGGCATGTTCTACCGCACCATCCGCATGATGGAGAATGGTATTAAGCCTGTGTATGTCTTCGATGGCAAGCCGCCACAGCTCAAGTCGGGCGAGCTGGCCAAACGCAGTGAACGGCGGGCTGAAGCCGAGAAGCAGCTGCAGCAGGCCCAGGTGACGGGGGTGGAGGAGGAGGTGGAGAAATACACCAAGCGCCTGGTGAAGGTCACCAAGCAGCACAATGATGAGTGTAAGCAGCTGCTGGGCCTCATGGGCATCCCGTACCTCGAAGCGCCCAGTGAGGCTGAGGCCAGCTGCGCCGCCCTGGTGAAGGCCGGCAAAGTCTACGCCGCCGCCACCGAGGACATGGACTGCCTGACCTTCGGCAGCCCCGTGCTCATGAGGCACCTGACCGCCAGTGAGGCCAAGAAGCTGCCTATCCAAGAATTCCACCTGAGCCGGATTCTGCAGGAGCTGGGCCTGAACCAGGAGCAGTTTGTGGATCTGTGCATCCTACTGGGCAGTGACTACTGCGAGAGCATTCGGGGCATCGGGCCCAAGAGGGCTGTGGACCTTATCCAGAAGCACAAGAGCATCGAGGAGATCGTGCGGCAGCTGGACCCCAAAAAGTACCCTGTGCCCGAAAATTGGCTGCACAAAGAGGCCCAGCAGCTCTTCCTGGAGCCCGAGGTGCTGGACCCAGAGACCGTGGAGCTAAAGTGGAGTGAGCCCAATGAGGAAGAGCTGGTCAAGTTCATGTGTGGGGAAAAGCAGTTCTCAGAGGAGCGAATCCGCAACGGGGTCAAGCGACTGAGCAAGAGCCGCCAGGGCAGCACCCAAGGCCGCCTGGACGATTTCTTTAAGGTGACGGGCTCACTCTCTTCAGCTAAGCGCAAGCAGCCGGAACCCAAGGGAGCTGCTAAGAAGAAAGCCAAGACTGGGGCAGCAGGGAAGTTCAAAAAGGGGAAATAATGTATTTTCCCCCGTTATACCTCCGTGACCCCAGAATACCTGACTTGTCCCCTCAAAAGCTAGAGCTAGAGCAGCCTCCAGGGCTGGGGAGAGATCCCATCGTCTCTCCAGCCCACCCTTTCTCTGTACTGCTTTTCCCTGCAAGACTTGAGCCAGTGGCAGGAGGGCCCCGCAGTGCTTTGCTGCTTGCTTTGCTCAGGAAGTGTGTCCGGCTCTTCTTCCTTTCAGCGGGCAGTGAAATCTATTGTTGTGTGAAAGGGACAGCAACAAGTTTTTGTTACAGGAGTGGGAGATGAACGGTGGAGACAAGACTAGGGGAATGATGTCCATGCTACCCAACTGGTGGCTGATGGGAAGTGACGGTGAACAGTGATCAGGGGATGATCCCACCTAAAGAGCGCCCATCAGGAAGACCACATCTAAAGAGCTACTGAGGAATGAGACTGGCGCAGACAGAAGTCCCTGGACTTGTCTGTAAGAGTTGCATTGCTGGGTGTGTGTTGAGGGGTGGGCAGAAGTTTGAGCCTGCTTTGTAACTTGAGTCTTTACAGTGGTTGTTCCGAGAAATAGTATGGAGACGTCTTCTCATGGAGTCTGAGACAATAAACTGGGCTGAAACTTTGGAATAAAATGCTGGCTTCTGGGTGTTTTGTTTCAAAGATAAGAGTGGAGAAAAGTCAGTAAAGTTATTAAAGTAACCAGGATGCATGTTCTTTTAGAACATGTGAAAACACCTACAGTTCCCCAAGCTCCCCACAGAAAGGAAATTATTTTTTTTATCCCAAGGCATCATACTTGTTGTTATGTGCCGTGGAGTCGGTTCTGACTCATAGTAACCCAGTACAGGGTTTC